CAGCCCTGTCCAGCCTGGCCTTGGACACTCCCAGGGATCCAGGGGCAGCCACAGCTGCTCTGGGCACCCTGTGCCAGGGCCTGCCCACACTCACAAGGACAGATTTGTTTCTAATATCCCATCTAACCCTACTGAAGCCATCCCCCTTATCCTGTCACTCCAGGCTCTTGTAGAATCTCCATCTCAAGTGGCTGAGTCCAGAAATTTATTTTGCCTTCTAATTGTCCTATCAGAAAAAACATCTTTTTTTGCCATCTGTTCCTACAGAGAGCAGAATCCTTTTCAACCTCCTATGCAGTGTTAGAGGAATAATACCTCCCAAATGTGTGTGGTTACTTGGTACAGTTTGTCTTGTTAACTTCAATCCATGCTGTCAAATCATCCTGAGTTTGTGTATTTCCATTCTGCAGAGTACCAATGGCAGAGGTGTCGCCCTGTCTGTGATTCCTGACACTTCCACTGTGTGGGAAGTGCTCTACAGCTCTTGAGAAATCATGGAATTGTGCTGACACTCTCAGTGTCCCACCAGTGCATGTGTGATTGGTGCTTGTTTCCTCCATTCAATGACTATGCATATTTTGTTCATGTTCCTTCAAGTTTAATAGGAGCAAATTTTTTTTTCAGCAAACATTAAAGTCAGCTGTCCTTCTGCTCAGTGTCTCATGCATTAAGCATGATCATGCATTGACTGAGAAGAACATTACTGTAGTAGTCTAGAAACAGCAGAAGCACATTCATCTGTAAAATAATTAGCCTTGTTTGTAAATATCCTTGGAAGTGATACCATAATTGTATTAAAGAAACATTTAGTTTTTTATTGCTGCGCATTGAAAATTGAAATTACTTCAGTGTGTCTGCAGAGAAGGCAAATGTAGCTCGTGTTGGTATCCAGTAAAACAAGGAGTAACCTTGATACCCAATGTGTGTGAGTTTGGGGCCAGCTCTGGTTCCTGGGACAAAACTTCCCAGTGCTGGTGGGGCCTGGGGGAACAGAACATCCCTTTTCATATGAGCTGGGTAGGGGTTTATTCATGGTGGTTGGGAAGGTTTTTTAAATGGAAGCTGCAGGTCCTTGCCCTGGCAGCTGTGACAGCTCATCAGTAAATGTTCCAGTTTAGAAATTCTCCTGCCTGTGGAGAAGGGGAGGGAGTCCTGCAAAACCCTGTCCCAGTGCTTCCAGAAAAAGTCAAAGAACATTTCTTTGGCCATGGCTTAGACACCATAAAAATATCCTGAGCTACTGAAATGTTTGTCTGGTTCACCCAAAGGTTCACATGATAACAGATTAGATTGGTTCCTGCTGATCATTTCTGGCAGTTCTCTTGAATGTCCCTGGACTGAGTTTTAATGCTTTGCCACGGAGAAGCTCTAGCACACCTCACATTAACATTGCAGCATTAATGTTCATTTTCCCTGTCTTTCAAGGCACTGGATACTCAGTCTGCCATTGCCAGTTTATTTAACCTGGTTTCAGACTTCTGGGAAAATGGAATTTTAAAGCCAACAATGTTATCTTTGCCTGTCAGTGGAGATCCTTTAGCAAAAAGCTTTCACTCTTCACCCTGACCTGTTCACAACAGGTACAGAGGAATTGGGATTTCATTTCTGTGTAAACCAGCACTTGTCCCTAAGTGCATTTTTAGCCAGAATAGCAGAGCCCACCTCACTCAGTAACATTTAACCCCTGGTGCTGACTTGAGTGAGTTTGGCTGCCCAGCAAGCACTGAGGCTGCTCCAGGAATCTTTTTATGCCTCAGACTTGTGAGGGGCACTTGTGGGCACGCAGGGGTTGGTCCTGCTCTTGTCCTGATCAAACCTTGCTTCACCTCACAGGGAAGGGGAGCAAGGAATGAGCACCTGCTGCCAGACCCTTGTGTTATTTGGCCATTATCAGATTTGCCTCCTCAAAATAACACATTTCCTATCAAGGCCCAGTCTGTTTTGAGACACCAACTGAACTGTTCAAAGAACAAATCCCACAGAATTGGAGTTTTTGCCCAAGTTTTGCAGGATACTTAAAACAGGTGAATACTTGGAAGATGTCAACTGCTTCATCATTCGGTGGTGAACACTCTGGCTGTTCAAGGACCCTCAGCTGTAGAGGGAGAACAACATTCCAACAGAGACTGAGGGTTCCTGATGCTCTTTTTTTTTTTTAAGGATTATGATACTTGCAGCTGAGAGTTAACAGGCAGAGATCCTGTTTGGCCAGAGCTAAGGTGTCATTTTCCTTGGTGAGGAGCTTCTGACAGGATTTAAGATTTGCTGCTCACGCTGGTATCACACTGGGATTTAATCCCTCCTCCACTGGGATGAAGAAATCGTCCCCCTTGGCTAATCCAAGTTGGGTGGATAAGTGGAACAGCTCTGGACTGCAGAGTGCCTTGGTGCTATTCTTGGAACTAAGGAGGAAGTTTGGGGTCACAAGGACTCAGTCCTGTGGCTCCAAATTACACCCTCTGTTCTGGGATTGGTGGTGAGGGACCTCATTGCTGCCTTTTACCTCAGTTCACTTATGGCTCTGGGACTTCATCATTCATCACCCTTTCCTTTGGTGTTTCCTCATCCTCTTAATCCTATTATTTCTAGAGAGGAAATACTGTGGTTGTCAGTGCATACATAAAGACAATAAATATTCCTTGGGAGAGAGGAGGAGGATGAGCCATCCCTGCCCCTCAGAGCAGGTTGGGGTTCCCTCCATTCCCTGAGCAGCATCCAAGCCTCACAGGGGAAGGTGAGAGCAGAGAAATCCTTGGAGAGCTACAGGGGGTCCCTGCAGAGGTGCTGCTGGAGGAGGGATCTCCTGCCTGGGGGTGTCCAAGTGCTCTTCCACCACTGAAGGATCTGCTGTCCAGAGCTGGTGGACACCAAACTCTGTGGAGCAGTTGGACAAACCAACCTTATTGCTAAACTACATAATTAACAGCATAACTTATTAAAACTTACAGCACAAGCTCCAGGCTCCCTCTCCACAAAGTGTCTCTGGGAAGCAGGGTGATGGAAGATGTCCATTCCAGACCTGGGCAAAGCTGTGCAATCAGTAAAGTCTGATCCCTGCTGTGCTCCTACCACCTCCTCTTCACCTTGTTTTTCTCATTGCTCAACATTTGTTTTGCCAGTATAAGATGCTAATAAAATCACGCCTAGTTACCAAATTGGTTTTCAAGTGTTGCATTCCAATTATAAAAGCCTAATTCCTCCTTCCACCCACTGAACCTTTTTGGTATTAACAGGCTTTACTATGCAAAGTCATGCAGGGGCTGTTTCGTTTACAGTAATTAAATGAATGTCAATTGTTTTAGTTGTTTCTGAGGGAGAGTTCTACATGAGTATTAGCATGTTCTGCTAACCCTGACGTTCTGCACTTCAGGCCTGCTGCAAACCCTTGGGGGTTGACCACTGACCTGAGACTCCTACCCAGACATGCCAAGTGCATCTCAATGAGTCTGAGCTCTTTTTCTCAGTTTCTATGGAACCAGCGGAGCGGAACTAATATAGCATCCGCATATAGATGAAAGAATGAAGAGGAAAAAGGGCTTTACAGCTAAATTAATTAAGCAGATGTACCTGTCTAATTAAAGATGCACTGTCCCTTTTGTACCCTAGCTGCAGTACAAACAGTATTTAAATACACTCTCTACCCATTTCATCTATCAAAATATTTAGTAGGAACGCTCAGATGAAGGTGATATTAGCAAGATGAGCTTCCCATGTATTATTAATAGAAGGGCTCCCAATTATGCATGAATGCTGCAGCACATCTTCATAGCAATGGCAGAAAACCCAGCTGCCCAAGCAGTCACCAGCCAGCACATTTGTAACAGGTAGGGCTGTTAAAGATGTCCTTGCCCAGCTGAACATGAGGGTTTTGGCTGGCCTCTGTGCTTGGGAGCAGCCTCTGCCTCAGCCTGGTGCTACAGGCTGGAATTTCTCAGCTCAAGAGGCACCAGGGACTCAGATTGCCTGGATTTGGCTTTCTTAGGTTTCAAAGATATTTATTCTGAGACTTTCAGAGCTGCCCTCAAGGCTAGAAAGTCCAATTCCCATCCATCAACACTCCTCCCATCCCAAAAGTATTGAAAATTCTGATTTTAAATTCTCACAACACAACATCCCCATTGCCACCTGGACAATGGGGTCTTTCCACCTGAAGTTACCCTGTAGGAGCAAGAAGGAAATTTGGCCTGTACATTTTTCATGTCCCCATATAGATTTAGACACACACAGCCAAAGACAACTACAAAGATCCAAATCTATTAACAGCAACAGGACCAGAGGAGTCACCTAAACCCCAAAGCCTGTTCTCTCTGCCTGCACCTTCCCTGAGGATCCCAGGAGGAACCTGAAGCTCCCCCATGCCCTGGCAGGGGGAATCCACACACACACACACAGGGGAGAAATAACAGAGGCATCCAGCCCAGCTCTCTACCACAGCACACAGATCATTTCCCTTTCTTACAGGCATTAAGGATGTGCATTTCCAGAATCTGAGACAGCCAGCAGGCTTTCAGCAGAGATTTTCCAGGTAAAAAGTTTTCATTGCTGCCATACCCAGCCAGAGAAGGAAAAAAAGAAATCCTGCTCACCATGCAGGATTTCCACCCAGGAACAGCTCAGGCAGAGCAGCCACAGGCTGGGAGCTCTTACCCCAGGAAAAGGGAATTTAGGGACCCACCTGCTCCTGCAGCTCGTTATGTCCTTGATTGGGTTCTGCAGGTGATGCAGCTGCAATCAGTTTTCCATGGCTCTGGGTATCCTGTCCTGCTGCTCTTTCTGCCCAGCACAATGGGGATCTGCAGAGGGTTTGTCAGAACTTTTTAAACAATCTGAGTTACCAGGGGAGTTAAAACCTCTGCCCCCAACGTCAAACACTGTGGAGAAAGTTCACTGCAGAGCTGGGAGTTTTGTTTTTCTCTTTGCTTTAGGGGTTGCTTGCAGGGACAGAGGGAGGCAGGGAGTGCCTGGGTGGCTTTGGTGGAGAATTAAGACACAAACACAGCTTTAATACTCCAAATTGGCTTGATGGGTCTTACACAGTGCAGACAAAACTACCACTCAGAAACAGAAAAAATATTTGAATTAAACCCAGGACTTGCTCAGCCACAGTGTTTCATATCTTGCATCATGAAACAAAAGCCAAAAAACTTTCCTCTAAAGCCCAATTTCTTACCCTCTGTTCTTCACTCAGCCTTGGTGAGCTTCAGATTTAGCACAGCTTGGCTGAATTCCCCCTCCCTGCTCATAACCTGCCACTTCAGACTGCAAATATTACAGGGAGAAATTTAAAATATAACTCTTCCCCAAACCATCCCTTTAAATTATAAACTTCTAATGTTTTTTACATGGAAGGGGCTTAATGATACAGCTTTCTATGAACTCAAAGATAACATAAGGGTCTTGGTCAGCATTGACATAAAAGGCATCTTGGTAAAAATCCTCCAGGGCCTTGACATTGCTGTAGTAGATGTTCAGGCGCTTCTCAATATTTTCTTCCTCATCCTTGGGGTTCTGCCTGAGCCTGGCCTGGATCTCTGGAGTGGGAGCTGGTCTGAATGTGGTGTGGTACCTGCAGAGGAGAGGAAATGCCACAGTTTGAGCCCAGCCTGAGCACACAGCAGCCACCTCTGCTCTCACCTATCACAGTCCCTTGGCCTCTTTCTGCTCCAGGCTGGGGTTTTAAAACAAAGATTGGAAATTTCAGGGCAGATAATCTGTCCTTGCTGCCCTCAAGAACCCTGGGTGCTCCAAGGCCAAGGGTTTCTCTGGAGGGGACACTGGTAGTGTTCATCTGCTGCACACAAGGAGAAATTTCTATTACATTATCCAGGTTCAGAAGTATTTCCAGATCTTTTACTTGTAATCTTTGATTCCTGTCTTTAAAAAAGGATCTAAAAAACCTAACCTTAAACATAAACACAGCTCTGTATGCAGCATTGCTGGTAACTGTCACTTGAACTGTGTTTAAGGCTCTCAAGCATTTAATTGCTAACATCTTTGTGTTAATTGCTAACATCTTCATGTAGCAGCAGAAGGTAAAAAGAGGTTAATTCACCTGAGATAGGTTTTGGTTATTTTTGATTTTCCAGATGCCAGAATTTGGCTTGCCTCAATCACAGTTGTGGCTTCCCTCAGTTACTTCAGCAGAAAAAAAGGATTTTCACCCTCAGAGTCCTGCAGCAGTGCCACAGCCCAGCTCAGCTGACACCAAAGGAATTCTGATGATGTTCCTGCATTGCCAAAGGCTCCCAACAATCTCTGAAAGTTCCTTTGCAATCAGGTGTTTAAATTCCCTGTTGGAATTGGTAATCCTGACTCTGATTAAATATCTCCTCTGCCCTAACACATAACCAGCTTTCCCCTCTTCCTGTACAGATGAATTTCCTGAGATTTGGGATATTTTGGGATATATTCCTGATAATTTTGGGATAATTTTCGTGATAATTTTTGCAAAACCAAGAAGAGAGCAGAGTCTGTGTCTCTGCAGAGCTGCACCCAAGGATGTGGACACCAAGTTCTTCCACATGGGAATCATTCAGGGCACAGCTGAAGGCCACCCCCTGCCCTGCAGCCAGAGGGGCAGGATTTGCACATGCCAAGGATTAGACCCAGCACCTAAAAGAATTCAATTCACGGAGAATTTGTGAGGGATAAACCCCAGAGTGTGGGAGAGGGAAGCGTGTGAAGCGGAGCAGATACTGAACAGCCTAATCCTAATGATAAGAGATGCAAAGATGTGGGAATGATTTGCCTCAGCCTGCTCCTTTCTGCTGAACAACCACATTGCTCATTACTAAAGCAAAGAGAGCAGTTACAGCAAATCACTGCTGCTGTCACAAGTTAATGCTGCACCTTGAGTGAGATGTCTGAATAATCATCCATCACTTTGGGACAAATCCACTCCTTATGGCCTTAATCTTGGAGGGTTCAGGATTTGTCTTTGACGCAATAGGATGCCCTCAGCCTTTGGAAAAGCAAAATACGGGTTTAAAATGTATGTGTGGGGAATCATAAAACCAGGCCACAGGTGAAGCTGTGAACACATGCCAACTCCAGCAGGCATTTGGGAAGGTAAATTTATTTGTGATTTGTTCCCTGGAAATGAAGGGTGGAGAAGGCAGGAAAGCTGAAGGTCACTGGTGACACAAGGGGATATGACACCAGTGAGAGGAGCCAACCTTACAGTGACTCAAACAAGTCTGTTCTACTGAGCAGGAAACACATCAATACCTCCCAGCAGACAGGGCCATCACAGGAGCCCGGGGAAGTAAAATGCAGCAAATTTTCCATTTTCCCCAGCTGGGAAGCCTTCAGAATTCCCATGGGAATGTCTGAAAACCATCTGCATTTAGGCTAGGTTTCAGACATCTTCTCTCAGCATTATTTTCCCAACCAATTGAGTTACATTAAAATGTTAGACCTGAGCAATTTGCTGCTGTGGATTTCAGGCACCAGGATTTAAACCCCCCCTTCCCCTGCTCTGAGGAGCTGCTGCTGCAGCAGGAAGGTGGGCTGGTGCTTCAGGAGCTATGAAAGTTTTAACTCTTCTTTTAAGGAATCCCTAAGCAGGAGTAGAGCATTCCTGAGCTCCTTAGATTGCTAAGAAGCCTATTTGGTGCTTTCATCTCCCTGGCAGTGAGAAAAGTGTTAGACATGAGGCAGGAGTGCTCACCTCTCCCCAGTGACAGGATCAGTCCTCCTCTGGGACAGGCGCTCCATGATGGACTCGTAGGGCAGATTAAAGAAGAACACCCTGTGGAGAACACAATTAAATCAATTAACATCCTGAGAAAAAGCACTTGTGGGTGGTGGTGTTCACAGGATGAGGGAAGAGATGAGAATCTTGACTCTGTGTTTCAGAAAGCTGATTTATTAGTTTATGATATATATTGTATTAAAAGAAAATTAATATATATAATTTATATATATAAATTATATATATTAATTTATATATTATATAAAATATATTATAGTAATTATATATATTTAATATATTAATATATATTAATATATATTAATATATATTAATATATATTTAATATATATAATTAATATATATTAAAACTTACTAAAAGAATAGAAGAAAGGATTTTGTCAGAAGGCTTGCAAGGAATAGAAAGGAATGAAAAAACAAAAGCTTGTGACTCTCAGAGGGTGATTGGCCATTAATTAGAAACAACCACATGGACCAACCACAGATCCACCTGTTGCATTCCACAGCAGCAGATCATCATTGTTTACATTTCGTTTCTGAGGCCTCTCAGCTCCTCAGGAGAAAAATCCTGGCAAATTTTTTTTCAGAAAATATCATAGTGACACTTGTGCCCTCCAGAGTGGGAGTTAATCCTCACCAAAGGAAGAGTGGCAGTGACAGTTCCCCCAAGGCTGCAGAGTCACAAATGTGAGCACAGGATTTCTGCAGAGCCTCTCCTCAGGTGCTGTTTGGTCTGCAGGAGCTCTCTGGCACAGGGCAGTGTGCACTGGGTGCTCTGACAGCTCAGGCTGGGGAATTGCAGCTGGAGCCTCTCCCACTCTGTCCCAGCCTCAGCACCCCAGCCCTTCCCTCTGAACGTCTCCAGATGCACTTCCCAACCCACCCAGCAAACAGAATCACAGTGGCATGACCCCAAAGGCAAATAAAAACCTCTGCTGTTCTTGTCAAGGACAGAGAAAGAGCTTGTCTGCCACAATTATGCATTTCTCCAGTGCCCATGAGAGGGATTTTCCTCTCGCTGTTTCAGTCCAGTTCCGCTCCTTTTGCCCTTGTCTCCCCACAGAGTGAATCCTCTGCTCTGCCACTGCTGCCCTGCATCCTCCACAGCAGGATCAGTGCTAGGACACAACTCAGGCCCCCTGATGCTGCTGACAGTTCCTGTTCCCTCCATCAGCCCTGCCAGGGCACGGGGAGCAGCTCAGCACGGCTGGGCCTTGCTGGTGACACTGCTAAAAGGAAATATTAATGCTGAATGCTTCATTTGAAGATCAGAATCTGCAGTTCCCATTGAGCCCGAGGGAGGGAGAGCTGCCCAGCATCTCAGAGGGGCAGCCCCATGGTGCCACTGGGCTGGGTCCCACACCAGGAACAGCTTTTCATCACTGGGGGATGGAGCCAGCCCATTCACAGAGGTGACACAAACGCCCTACACGGATGAAGGATGCAGAACCAGAAAACAACAAGCCCCACGTACACCCAGACACATCCCACTGTTGATACAAACTGCTGTGCCCATCCCACATTGATCCCTTGTCTTTTTGGTTCGTTATAGTGCTCCTGCTAATTTTATATTTGTGTTCCAAAGCTCCTCAGCAGAAGATTCTTGACAAACAGCTGAACATGAGCAGACATGAATCCCCTGTCCCCCAGCCACTGGAGACTGGAACAGATCTGCACAAAGATCACATTTAACAATTAGCTCAGAACAAAATAAAAAATAAAGCTCCTTTGAACCTGTGAATAGAATTTTTCCCAGTGAAGCACAAGCTGAAGGCTGTAAATACATCTTTCTTTACAACACACCTTCTCCTGCTGCTGCCTTCAAGGCCAGGCTTCCTGTTTTCATTTTTGTCTGCTTCTCACAGGAGATACTGCGTGGTTTAGACATTCACCAAAGGAACATTTTACACTGACTGGGTGGGATCAGACCAGATGAAAGGCTGAGCTTTACCTTGGCATGCACATAGCAGATTACTAGAATCCTTTGTAGGATTTAAAGTTATGAAAATCATCTCTCTTTTCAAATGTTTACAGATAATGACTTCTATTCACACTGTGGTAACAAAATAACAGCCAGGAATAAAACATTCAAGATCTTGGAGATTCCAAAGACAGGAAAAGAACAACAGTTTCAACACTCTTTTATCCCTTACACTCTTAACATTTTGTTTTTCTTTGTTTCTGTTGCCCAACAATGGCACAAAAACGTGATTGTCACAACAGGTAACATCTGATGATGTGTCTCAAGATGAATATTCTAGTAGAGAGGAACAACATTTATACAGTCATGATAATTGATAGAGCTTCCTATTATATCCTGAGCTAAACAAACCCACTGAAGGATTATAACCTGGCATATCAAGAAAGCTTGTCGTGATTCATAGTTAGGAACACAAAAAGTATTATGGGATTTGAAACAGAAGAGCCTAAAAAACTCCACTTAAAAAGCTGCCAACAAAATGAACTCTGAAAGCCTTGTCTGAGACTCCCTTCTTTTCCAAACAAGATGCTGCTTATTATCCAGTCTGGTGTCACCATTAAAGAGGAGTGTGGGGGAGATGTGGGAGGGTGCAGACATCCCTGCTAACATGGGTTTCCTTTCCCCCACGTGCATCGTGTAACAGCACACACAGGATTCACTGTGCAGCAGCACAAACTCCCAACCCAAGGGAAAAATGTACAACCCAAGGGTCCTTCCAGTGCAAGGTGGGATGCCTTACCCTGCCACTCCACACATCTCCCACAGATGAGAGAAAGCAGCACTCCCCAGGGCTGTCAGGTTAAAATCCTTCAGAAGCAGGGGAAAAAAAAAAAAAAAAAAAAGATGAAGGGGAAAAGCAGTGACAGAACTGCAGTCTAGACTTAAAATACTTCCAATTAGAAAGCTTTATTACCATTTGGAAGGAGACACATACCCCACACAGTCTATTAGGCAGCCCCAGGAGGTTTACTCACAGGAGTAAAGCCTATTTGCATGGATGCAGGCTGGGAAGTGTTGGCCTTGGCTATCTGATCCATCTCCTGCAGCTCCTCAAGGTGCTTGTGAGCAGCATTTGGCCTCTGTCCCTTGCTCAGGCTCCTGTGACTCTGCTCACATAACAAAGCTGACCCTCCAACTGCCCAGGTAACACATTTGATGGATTTCTTTTGGAAATCCTCATAACACAGAGGGCTGCACCTGTGACCTTGATCCAGCAGCAGCTGGAACAACTCCCTGCAAGTACTGGGTTCCTCTCCAAGCAGAGCTTGGCCCCTTCCACACAGCAGGCGTGGCTTCCTCACATAAATGCATCCCCTGTAAAGCTCACTTTAGGAATCAGCCAGGCTTTGTATGTTGTAATGTCACAGCTCCTATCAAGGGGAAATATGAAACAGATGTCATCAGGATTGGTAGACAGGGAGGAGAGGAAACACAGCCTGATATCAAAGGACACGCCATTCCCCTGCTGGATTAGCATCCAGCAGAGCTGCAGCAGGGGAGTGGTGTCACTCAGCACCACGGGGAGGGCAGGGCTGGCCACAGGGCCACCAGGGATCCCCACTGCTCTGCCACAGGGTCAGAATCCACCTGTGGGCAAGCAAAAATCGCTGGCATCCAGCTGGAGGCTGTGGGGGAAACTTGGTGCAGCCTCTGAGGTCTCTGAGGATAAATGTCCCCCCTGACTCCCACTGAGTGAAACCAGAGATTCCTAAGCACAGCTCTGTCCTCTCTCCTTTGTTCCATCTCCCAGGAGAGGGAAATGTGGGAAAAGGTCCAGTCCTGTCAGCTTTTATGGATGATAAAACTGTGAACACAAATGTTAAAAGGCACAAAAAAATCCGTGTGTCAGAATCCTGCCTCTTCCTCACTGTACTTGACATCATTTATCTAATCTAGTGCAGCTTCCAGATACATTAGAGAGATTAAATTCCAACAAATTAATAATGATGATGACACCTTCACTGTGTACCCAGTCAAATGAGAACTTGCTGCCTTTGGATGGTGATGAAATGTATTCCAGCCCTAGCAGCTGGAATGTAACTCTGCTTTCCTAGCAGCCATCTGGCATTCCAGAAGAGTATTCCAGCCACTTCTGGCTATTCAGACAGAGTCATCTCAGAGCCTGGAGGTCACCAGGGCATCCTGATGCTTCCCCTGGCAAATGGGGGTGGAGATGGAAGAGCAGGGATGGCAGGGGTGTTATTTCACCCCGGATTGTGAGACAGGATTTTTGGAAAAATGTGTCCCAACCACACCATAAGTGAAAGATTTCTGACCTACACAGCAGCATTCAGCTAATCCTGAGCTGCTTTTGTTCCAGATGGCAACCAACCCACTTAATCCAAGTTATTAACAACTGGCAGTGCTCAGTGCTGTCCTCACAAGAATAAGAATTTATTTGGGGGTGGTTTTCCTATTTTCTGGATATAACCACCCTGGCTTCCAACACCTGCAAGGGAAACATTTTGAGTGCTGCTGTAAGAGAAGCAGGTGAGCCTAAATCCAGGAATCCTGTGCTAGGGAATGAGGAATGCTCCTGCTAAGGCCAGTCCCTTTCCAGGGTGGCAGCACTGCCCTGCCAGCTGCCTTCCCATCTCCAGAGAGCTGCAGCTCTGCCTGGCAGCCAGGTCCTGCCATTTAAGCACAGCTGCTTCCTGAGGCTGACCTAGATGGAGCCACATGTTGGCTGTTCTAGGCCTGAGCTATTTCCTTAGGTCAGATTCTCATCCTTGGCCTTTCCCATTGTGACACTGGGGGAGTGGAGCCCAAAGCCAAGCCCTTTTTATAGAGCTGTTGCCTGTGAAATCAGATCAGGCCATGAAATCAAATCCATACCTTGTTTTCATTGAAGGATGTAAAGGCAACACAGGATATCTGAGACAGGATCCTGATCCTTACCTGGCTTTTAAAAACAGAGACTACTGACTTGCTTGTGGCTATACCAGGGCCAGGTCAAGCTCTGCAACAAAGTTAGGATGCTTGAATTAAAACAAAAATACACCACCAGCCAATATTGGGCCACTTTTAATGCAGCTTTTAAACTTTTGAGTTGAAGCTG